TATGAATTTTATCTTCGAGTGTTCATTTGATATCGAATGAGTGAGCATCCTCTATTTACGATATAATTTGCTTTCATATGTAATAATACGATAAACAGAATATTACATGGTCGCTTGGAGATATGAATTTTATCTTATAGTGTTGAAAAGCTTTTCGCTTATGCTCACTTGTGAGAGACCTTTTCAACACATGAAGATATGGTTGAATAAAATTGTGTAATTTGATTGCCTTAGAGGGGTGGTATTTATATCCTTAATAATGGTATTTCAAATTGCACAATTTTAATCAACCATTTTATAAACAAATAATAGCATGTTTTGTACATGGAATTTGGGATAATTACCACTTGTGATATTTCAAAATTGTTACAAATTTTGTTGACAATTTTGAAATATCACGCGTTGCATTTATCGCAAATACCACTACAAAACATGCTATTATCTATACATACAAAATAGACAAAAAGAATATAAGAAATTGTAAGAAAGCCAACAAGTGAAAACTGAACAGAAATAATGTTTCTTACTTGACAGGTCTTCGAATTTTGAGGATCCTTGATGGATCGGATTTCCTTTGGATAATTCGTCTTTTAGACAGTGCTTTAGCTCATCAAATCCTGTCTTTATACCTGATGATAGTTAAAAGAAATGATATGAATCATAAAAATAATAAAAAATATATGTTTTAAAACACTCATTCAAAAATATTAATTTGATATTGATAATAACTTTTTTATGAATGACTTTTTTGGGGGGTGGACAGTTTGGAGGCATGGTGGAACTGTTAAACCTAGTCCAGAACTGCACACACTTTTCTCAATAACTATTTAAAAGGTAGATAAATAGTTGAAAAAAAGTGGACCCTCTTTCAACCTTACTATTCAGTATGTTGATTCAAATATAGTGACTTTCAAATTTCTGTAAAAGAGGTTCCAGTTCTGGACTATGTTATAAACCCTGATAAATATTTAACAAATAAATTTCAGCTCGTGCTTCTTGACATTTTCTCGTTTGTTTCAAATACCAAGCGTGCGTTTATCAGAGTATAAACCACAGGCTGAGACTGATTTATTTGTTTTATTATATTCTATTTTGAGCAAAACTTAAGCAAAAATCCATTTTGTTGCCTTTTTCAAAAATTGCTCGTGCACAATAGTGGTTTATACTCTCATAAACCACACTTTTTTGGCCAATCAGAGCACGCGTATAATAATATTGATATTTTATAAATCAGTTTTAGACTAGATATATAAATTTCTTTCCCATTTATATGATCTGAGATTCCTGAATTATTTCTTTTTTTTTTTCAACTGTTTGATGAAAAGCCTAATTTCACTATAATAATGTTACAACAGTTACCAAAACCAGAATGCTTTTCCATCTTTTGTGTATAAGTAAATCAGTGCTATACATTTTACTAATCCCCAAAAGAAAACAATATCTTGGAACATGATTAGAAAGCAATCCAAAGTATTGTGCTCTTGATGGTAAGTCATCCAATCAATCTCAAGTCTCCTTGTCCTTGTTGTAGGTGTGACTAACCTTGCTTTATGTCTAGTTGTCCTTGCTGTAGGTGTGATTGGCCTTGCTGTATCTCATCTAGCCTGCTGATTACTATGAAATAAGAAAATACATAACATCAGGTGCTTTTTATAACTGCTGAATTGAACATATACTGTAATATCTTGTCAACAGGAAAGCTTAATAGTCTAATCATTTGGACAACAGTCATAAATTAATATACATTATTAAAGTTATTAATATCACACCTACATAAAATACTGGTTTCTGATTGGACATTTCCAATTTTTCTTTGTTTATTTGTTAGATGAAAACATTAAAAGTGTTTTGGATGCATAGCATTGTTTTGGTTATAGGTGGCTACCACAGTTCTGCTTCTTATTTTGCCTCTTGTATCTTACTTTATGGATATCATGAAAAAATCTTAAAACAACATTCTGTACTATAATGTTTTCTTAAGAGCAGCCATGTTGAAATCATCTGAGTAAGTTTAGGCGATCTCCTCAAATTATCAGTTTTGAAAATACACGATGAATACTTTATTAGCCATAAACTTTACAAATGTAAATCACTTCATAACATAATTTTCGTATCTACTGGCCAGGGACTACCAAGAATAGTGAAAACTAGTTTCCTTTAATAAAACCTCTTCAGTTAGTCGTGTTATATAATTATTGTCTTGAAGGGAAGAACATGTTTACATGTAAAATATAGTGAACTGATTAAGAGGTTTTATTAAACGAAACTAGTTTTCACTATTCTTGGTAATCCCTGGCCAGTACATACGAAAATTATGTTATGAAGTGATAATACATTTGTAAAGTTTATGGCTATTACAAGATTTTTTTATGTCTCGCCAAAAGCTATTTGTCAACAAATACTGTATTGTTACAACCTATCTATCAATGTACATGTACATGTGAGTCTGTATTTACTTGTATCAACTCCTTGTAGGATGTCTTTGTCTTGATCTGAGCACTGCTTGACCAAAGATAACAGTTTATTCAATTCCAGCTTCTGTACATCTGAGAAACACAAATCATAGAATTTAATCAAATTAATTCAAAACTAAAATAAACTCATGATGAATTGATTTAATTAGTCTATTGATAATTGCAGCAGGTTTTGACATCTAATACATTATTTTCATTAATTATACCATTATTTTGCTTTCTTGTATCCTTTATATGTATATAGGGTGCACTTTAACTGGAGTCCAGTTCTATTGTGTTTCCCTTACTTTGTTATCATTCTTTAGTATTCAAATCAAATCAAATCAACTTTGTTTTAAGAGGGTAAACACGTGCCAGTAAAGAACTGATGAACTTGTGGCCCTCTATACTCTCACACTCACTACCTCTACATTAAGTATTTTAGCACACAACCCTCCTCACATGTTGATTTTTGCTGAGGGAGGAAAACCGGAGGGCACAGAGAAAAACCCTCGTGGCAAGGGGGAGAACAACACATCAAACAAACTCAAACTGACATATGGTCCGTGCCTGGAAATCGAACCCGGACCACAGTGGTGAGAGGCCAGCAGCTTAACCACTAGACCACCCAAGCCACCCGAGTATTAGTTTTTGATCTACTATACACGCTTTTAATAAGTCCCGAGGTATCGAGTTCTCCGCAATTGACGTCAAATTTATTCTTTTGAAATTTTTACAATACAAAAGGAATTCAAAAGAATAAATTTGACGTCAAGTGCGGAGAACTCGATACCTCGGGACTTATTAAAAGGGTGTATAATATACAGATTTTAGTAGTCTCTTTTACTGCAAAAGTTTTTAAATAAATTAGTAAATAAATTTTATGATATGCCTTTATATACTACTACACATACCATCTTCAACCTTCTTGACTTCCAGTGCTGAAGCACCCACTAACAATAACGCATTACGTACATCATTGAAAAGAGGAGTAAACTCTGCAGATGTAATCTTTCCACTTGCAGTATGAAAATATTTATTTCTTGTTTCCCTCAAATATGTCAAGCCATCAACTAAAGCTTTGTTGACAATGTGAACTATTGGAGGTCTGGAATTCAATAGCACTTTGACAAACAGAGATATATCCCACTTTGTTGTGTCCCCTGACTGGACTTTAGGTCTTTCATAAGCTGGGTATGGGTTGTACATGGTCAATAGGTCAGTGCCATTCTGATGGCTGTCAGTCCATGGAACAAAGACACCACTATGCATGGTATTCCATTCATCTATGAAAAACTTGCGCAACTTTACCAGGCCTACTCTGTTTAGCAGTAGTACCAGGCAGCAATAATTCCTGTAAAACAAACAAATATTAGGTAAGCATGATTTTGATCAGGTTACTGCTGTTGAACAAATTCATTTAAAGATAAGCTAGCATTATAGATATTTTGAGGGCAGGAATAAAAACAATTATAAACAGTTATACGACTGTCATGACACTATCTGTGGTTGATTTAATTTTTACTATATACATGTATATTGATTAAATATCAGCTTTTTGAAAAATGTTCAATCAATCAAATGTAACTTTCAAAGATTTACCAAGAAATTGATATCTTTTTTATCTATTTAAATTGATATATTTTTTTATCATCGAAATGGCTTGAAACGACTAAATTATTGTAAACAACCATGTTACTTACTATAAATAAAGAACCATTACATCATCATGCGCTATATATATTGATTTTTGGTCGTTTGTATGTCAGTAATCATACCTTTCTTCDTCATCCATCCTTCAACAATATTTTGATATATGATACATATATCTGCTTACTAGATGAGTTCTGCAATTAAAATTTATATGAAATAAAATATTCTATTATAAAAGTAACTTCTTTATAGTTAATGGAAATAACTTTGTCTAAATTATTGTACACAACCATGATATAAATAAATTATCATGATTAATCTAATTATAATTTTTCATGCATAACCAACAATTACTAACTATAAAATATATCACAGACTTCTAAGATATATCTAAAATCATTTTGAAGCCAAAAGGACCAAAAGAAGTTCCGGCTTTCCATCTACATGTAAAAGTGAGATATATAATATTATCGAGAAATCAAATCAACGATTCCAAAACAACTTCCGAATACAACTGGACTTCTAACAGCTGAATACAAAAAACATGGTCATATGCTACAGATTTTCCACTTGTAAATAATATACAATATGGCTTAAACCTACARTGATTATCTTCAGAAAACAAGTTGAAATGCAATAGCTTAAGCAACTATGATTTACCCAATCTTTGTCTGCTTGCTTGAATACTTTGCTGAAGTTTTCTGTCGTGCAGTGCAGTTATGCGATCAAGGGTAAGGATGTAGTTAATGATTGACAGGTACCTAATAAGGTAAGGTTGCACATTGATTTACAATATTTCCCTCTAGAAGATTCTGTGTATTTTTAAGCAGTTTTGTAACAAATGTAATTTTTATAACATGACTTTTAGAAATATATTTATACATGTTTTCAATAGATTGAAGTTCTAGAAGTAGTATTATAAAACACTCTCAGTCGTGCCTTATTGGGGATAAAGACACTCGGCCTTCAGCCTCCTATATCTCCCAATAAATCACTCATGCTCATTTTTTAAACACTACTTAAAACACTCTCTCTCTCGTGTTTTAAACTACATATACTTAGTTAAGATGCTTACAAATGCAATATTTTAAGAATGCTACTYGTACCTGAACTTTGTCAGCTTGATTGAATACTTCGTTGAAGTTCCTGCTATGCAGCTAATATCATTTAAACTCGGCTCTTTATACTTCACTGGCAATAAAGGGATAGTGAGTAGAATTAAAGACAAAAGGGCTTACTAGATGAGTTCTGCAATCAAAATTTATATGAAAAAAAATATTCTATTATAAAAGTAACTTCTTTATAGTTAAAATAATTAAAGTTTTATTCAATTGAAATAACTTTGTCTAAATTATTTTACACAACCAAGATATAATAATAGCATAATTATCATAATTAATCTGAATTTTGCAGAGATTGGCTTCATGGTTGAAAAGCTGCAAATATAATAAATTGACAATTTTTCATGCATAACCTACAAATAATATAAAACATATCACAGACTTCCAWTATATATCTTCAACTATTTTGAAGCCAAATGAAGTTCCCATSTTCCATCTAAAAGTGAGATATAAAGCGTGGATTTCACTAGCACATAAGCATAGGCATAMGCACGAAGCACGAGAGTCATATGCGCCAGTGAGAACGGGCTCAAAATAAGCATAAGCATGAGCACAAGAAAAACGAGMAAGGCTTRATCTTCTTGTGCTTATCTTATGCTTATGCTTAGTGAGAACGGGACTGCATAGGCATAAGCATGGTAGKTACCGAAATAATACGCTCCTGCGCATGCTCAATGTCTTATGYTTATGTCAAGCCCGTTTTCACAGGCGCATAAGATTCTCATGCTTGTGCTTATGTGCTAGTGAAATCCACGCTTAAGATAGAGAAATCAAACTTCCAGACGGGCGCTGACTTCAACAACAACTAGACTTGTAACATCTGATATGGTAATATGACTACGATTCTCTACTTGTAATATATAATATGGCCAAAAACTACAGATTTCCTTTATTTAATATTTTTTTAGAAATCAAGTTAAAATGTGATAGCTTAAGCACACTTCTTACCCAAACTTTGTYTGCTTGCTTGAATACTTTGTYRAAGTTTTCTGTCCTGCTGTGCAGCTATGCGATCAAGGGTGTGTTAATGATTGACAGGTTCCTAATAAGGTAAAGGTGCATATTGATTTACGATAATTMCTTCTAGAAGAKTTTGTGCGTTTGTTAAACATTTTTGTAAAAAATGTAATTTTTATAGTATGACTTTTAGTAAGATATTTATGCAGTCATGTTTTCAATAGATTGAGTAGAAAGAAAATATGAAAAAGGATYGTAAATTTTATGAAAATATTTYACACAGAGTTCAAACTCGAGCGAGAWTTGCCTTTCGACAAMAGCTGATATCGTTTTATTGCTTCTTCACTTGCAATAAATACAATAAAAGCCAAGATTTCCTTCATTATATCTTATAAATTAAGTTAAGATGCTTACAAATGCGTGCAGCGCATGGTACTTACCCGAACTTTGTCAGCTTGCTTGAATACTTCGTTCCTGTTATGCAGCTGGTATCGTTTAAACTCGGCTCCTTATAAAAAAAAATGTGTGATATTAGAGTACAAACACTAAAACTGTGCAACATAAATGCCACTAAATACTGCTAAATTATGCTAATTCTATTGTTTTCTATTGTTTAATTAACACTATTTTGTAGTAAATAGTGGAAAGTGTTGCACACATTTAATGTTTGTACTCTATGGATATTTATTGATATCAATTCTTATTGATTGACTAATATAAGTATGATGTTCCAATCTCTCTTCATATACAAACTAAAAGCTACATACCAAAGGCTTCAAAGTTGTGTCCGAGGTAGTTGACCAAGCAGAATTTCAAATTCAAGCGAGATCTATCATCAAATAATGACACAGCATATTTTCTATATACTCAGACAGGCGTTTGTTGACAACAACTGTATTGTTTACAGAGAACCCTGGCTTCTCTTTATTCTTCACTTGCAATAAATGTGGTCTAAAACCCAAAATTTCTTTCATTATTATACCTTAANAAATAGACAAATGAGTCTGTATGACCAAACAATAACTGCAAAGAGAAATTTGTGACACTGAGGGATTTCTATCAACTTCTCCGACAATTAGATTTTCATTAACCAAACAGCTAGAGTTCCTTCCCTCGCCTGCTGACATCCTTTTCTTAATAAGGACGCTTTACTTAGCTATTTTAAAAACATTAACTCACCTAACGATGTCTCCTCAAAGAATGCCACTACTGCTTGTTATTGTAGTTTGACAAGGGGGGGGGGGGTAGGATACTTCATTTCTCAGCATGATTCAAAAAACCATAGCATCACAACTTTATCCCAATAAGTAAACGATAATATGGCTCAAAATATTAATCCGTTATTAATAAAGAGTTGATTGGATGAAAATTCCGTAATAGAGCAAACGCTGGAAAACCATGAAATAAAATCAAACTAAATACTAACAAATAGCGGCTATTTAGAGACAAATTCTAAGTGTCAATGAACCAGACTGCTCAATAAATATGAATTAAAAATGGTCCCCTACATGGATTCATCTTCATTGTGTTTTGTTCATTACTGACAAATTGTCTCTAAATAGCCGCCATTTGTTAGTATTTATTTTGACTTTATTTCATGGTTTTCCTATGTTTGCTCTATTGGGAAAGATATGAATAGCTCTTTTCGATGGAGAGCAGCCCGACAAATAACTTAAAAAAAAGTGTTACTGGTGAGAGTTTTTTTACGTCGGAATGGACGTCAAAGAGAGGTGAACCAATGCTAAGATACAAATACAAGCTTTTATTTCAACTCGTTTCACAAAGTCTTAGCCAGATATTCTGGAAATAGTTTTACAACAATACTTATTTTCTTAATAAATAGAATGGACGAGGGGATCTTGGGCGACCTGCACCCGTCACGTGACCAGTAGGTTCYGTCACGTGATATACTAAGTGTACTTTCAACTCTTTCAAAGTGGCTCTACYACAAAAATAATACAAAATTATGTCCCGATTGCTTTATACAGCTTTGACGTACAAAAAAACAATTTTTACACAATTCAAGATATCTTACAAAGACATTTCAAATCTATTGTCAGTAAAGTCGCTACAATTTCAAAATCCTTAATAAAGAACAAAGCATTTTGGCTAACATCAAGTCGCCGGACCGTATACCCTCATCCTCAGGTCTCCGCGGTTGGTCCCGTAAACGAGGCCACAGCCAACAACTGGATGCCAAAAGGCTGCGTTGACACTAGTGTAGAACTGTCTGTCTGCTTCTTCTTCGCTTAGTGCAATACTTTGTACAGGCTAAAATAAACATAAACACGACGCTTAATGTTATGTGGAATTCAATCTCGAGCACAGTGTCTTCAGGGCTAATATCAG